AAACATAAACCTATATCAGTTATACAGTGCTATGGTGACTGCTGTGGCATGACGAGCCCCCCACTCCTCCCACTCGTGCCCCCACAAAAGTAATGAGTGCATGACGCCCCTGACACTACAATACAAAATTATTTGTCAGATAAATGAAAGAGTTTAAATTGTTATAGCTTACGTCTAGAGATTGCGGTGATACATGACATGGTGAAAAATGATTGAATGAATAATACTGAAAGTAGGTTAAAAATTAATTTTAAAAGTGTGCCCCCTAAAAGTGAAAGTGGTCCCTGCCTGCAATGAAAGCCTTCATTACGCTGCTGTGATGCGTTCGGTGAAGCCTTTAAAGAATGCAGCATCTGAATTGGGAAGCAGCCTATGTGTCCTTAATATGTTTGAATTATGATTTAAGCCATGTTGGATTTTATAATTTAGTGATCATTCTGATGTTGGGAAACAGTCAAGAGACGAGATTGCAGGTTGTTCAGGACTTTATTTGAGCTGCTGTTGTTGACATGTTCTTTTATGTTTAGCACACAATTATTGTAGATAGTTTATACCCAATCTTCACTCCTTTAAGAATAAACATTTTTTTTATTTAACAGAGTCACATAATGTGGATATTGTCAGTCACAAACAGTAATTTCTAATCAGACATGATTAATTCATGAAACTCAATATAAGAGAGAGAAGTAGCTGCAACAACAAACTGAAATCCTTAAAACACAAATAAGGAATTTAGAAAACTCATATCATACTCGTCAGTTACATGAATTATCTCATAATAAAATAGAAGGAACACGGTATAAATGTATATCTAATAATGAGTACATATGATGCCTTTTGATCCCACAAAATTCAATTACCTAGATTAATATCTCATAACTCTGGGGTTAGTAAATAAAAAAAAGTTTATAAAAGCAAAATATTCTTTAACATCAATTCTTGTCATTGGCTCTTAAAAATGAAGCAAACAAACCCACAGAAATCACATTGATGCTTCAACAGAAATCCATCCACCTGAAGATAAACAGACCCTCAACAGAACAAATCAGACAATTTACAGCTCAATAACAGTTTACTATCAGTTTACAATAACTATATTAACAAACATCTGAGCAAAATATTTCTGCCTTTTTCTCTCTCAGTTATGGCTGCCTGCTGAGGCTGAAGTTATTATATGTAATATTGTTATTTAAAGTGACAAATGAAAATGAAGTTAAAGGAAGTGA